CGCTTACTAATGCAGCGCTTTTCGAATTCCTCGCGAACGAAATCGCGGGTACCAACTAGTAATTAATAAAATAATCAGTTGTATCCTTCGAAACATGCAATTCTAGATTGCATAGATGCAATTTTATTAGATTGATTCATGATTATTTCACATATTTAAAAAAAAAATGTCCTCTTGTTATACTTTTTTATATATTTACAAGATGCCCCGGCGAACTTCGTATTACCTACATCTATGTATTTATGTTAATAATCTCTTTTTTGGAAAACAAATAGGTAATAGAAGTATATTTAATAAAAAAAAAAACAATTAGTGAAGCACAAATTAACTTCCAATCAGAAATTCGTCACTTCACTTTCACTAACGTCAACACTCTTAATGGAATGAGATTTCTGAACAAATTCATAAATATTTGACAAACAATAAATATGTCGATCCTTTGTGGTAGTGGCACGATTATGCATTTTTTAAATCTAAATACGCTATAATCCTAATATATATACTTTACTTAATTTAGAATGGACATCAAATATTAGACAAGGAGAAATATTTAAAATGGGAAAAGAAAATTAAAAAAAAAATTGTTTTACATTTTCACACCGTTTAAACTTTCTCTGGACTCCCACAACCATAGTTTTTTTACAGGAAAAGAAAATTTTATTGATTTTTTTACAGGAAAACATTTATCGTTTTAGCTAGTATACAATAAAGAGAATTCTTAAGTTTGAACAATTTAACTACCATATTCTTGAAATATTTTTTTCTCCAACAACATAAAGAATTTTAAATTCACTTGCGCAAAGTTTTTGTCGAAGAACTCGTTGCCTAACAGAATAGTACTCAAAATACAATAGCAACGGTTTTTTATTAACATATCCTATTTGAGCATGCATCGAATACACTCGAGCGATCCGATTTAATTTGAAACTTCACCTTACGGCGATACTCGTAAAGGGTTGCCCTCTGCCATAATCTTTGAACTATGACTTGACCGTTAATACGCATTTATAATTTGGTCTTCGATTATTTAGTACGGTGGAATGGTACGCCGAGATACGAATAAATTAGTATCGTGTTTGGGAACAAAGCCGGTTCAAAGTTTTGAATAACGGTCACGGGATCGTTGTAAGAATTAAACTTATTTCTCTAACTTTTGACTTGAGTACTTTATTAGAATCCATCTTGTTGTTTTGTTTAGAAAACTTTCAATTAAGTGCTTGTTTGGTTACAAACTTACAAATAGGAGTAAGTACTGAAGTTTTAATGTAATTGAAATGTATTTTAAATGTGATGAAACACAATAATCTCGAAAATAATTAAGTGTACAGGTTCCTGCTAAAGAATCCAATCTTCACTTAAATCGTGTGAAGTTTTATAAAATGAAAAATTTAAAGTGATGATGATGAATGAATGTTTTTGTTTTTGTTCACTGTTCATTTCCGGGTATCGGGTTAAAAAAACAGTTGACCGATATTCCCCTGCGATTGAACTGTGACCGGCTTGCGCGGCTTATAGCTTCCCCCAGATACAATCTGCCCCTCGCAGGTGTAAACTCGCCCTTACTTAGTTTGCAGCTTCCACGCGCCTCATTTACATAGCTAAGGTATCTTATGCACTGTGCATGCACTCGCTTCTCACTTTATAATTCAAATGATTCACACGAGCGCCTGGTGAATTTGAGGAAATGTGAGAATTTGTAACGGCATTTTAGGAGCTACTTAAAGTGAGAGTATCTGTATGCTTATTTAACTTAAATTTGGATTTTTCTAAAAAGCTCTTTTTCAACCACTGGAAATTACCTAATAATTTCCAATTTTTTATATAAAAGCGTAGACCATTTATAAAGATATTTCCCATTTATATCTACAATTCTTATAGCCACGCAACAGTTTTAAATGATACTAGTCCGGTCAAAATAGACATTTCAAATAACAGAAACTCCAACAAAGCTGATTTTGCTAGATACTTTGGGTACACTAGTAAAAATAAAGTGTTCAAAGACCCTATATGTGCTAAAAAAGTTATTCAAGGTCAAAGGTCAAAATTTTCGGATTTTTTTATTTTTCTCGAAAACGAAGTCGTTATCAAAAATAGAGCCCAGACAAAAATACCTAGTACATCATATAATTATCTACAGAATTGGTTCTTTACTTTTTTTCCCAACAATCACCATTCCTAAGATATCGCGATTCCAAAAGTTGAAGGTGTTACATTCTACATTTTAAACACACATTTTCACACCACCTGTGAGGTAGTATACTTGGCACGTTTTTTTTAACGTGGTTTCCCCGGTAGTAATAGATTTATTATGATGGAGTTTTATGGTAAAAATATTGTATTTACTGCATGATGATTAGTGATATAGGTGATTCATTTAAACTGTAGTTCTGTCTTCTTCGATTTCTTCTTCTTCCTTATCATTTCTTGCTAAATTATTATAAATTGTTCAATTAAAGATTAATCAGCCGTCTCTTATTCGATATCAAATGAATCATCGTAATTTGGCCCCGGCCATTAATACACTGGTGAACATTGGTGAACAGCACTACAACCTTTTTTGCAGTTGCAAAAAATATTGTTTAAGAGTTTTTCCGGAGCAGGTGGGATAGTATAGTTTGAATCGGTTCCAAAGTATTATCTTTTAATTTCCAGCCTCAGTCTTCCGGTTCAGTTGATTTCCCAGCCATCAACATACAAGTGTTGATGAGCGGAAGCTGATGTTGGAAGACAAGATACTTGTTTCTTGTGCCGTGTATTTTTGCAAAGGTTAAATACTTGTCGATACAATCAATTTTTTTCGGAGCCCCATAAACAGCTAGGAGAAAGCGAATTCCTTTTAAGATTACCGCTTGAGGAGACGAGTATTGACTCTGTTTTTTTTGACCATTGCACCTACCGACTATTACTTTCTCCAAAATTTAGACAACTTTTTAGTGGGTAAAAAATTCAATTCCCGAGAGGCAGTACAAAATGCCTTTGAAGAGTTTGTTGCCTCCCGTGCAGCTGATTTTTACAAGAACCATAGAAGAACTTTTAGAAGATCCATAAACTGCCAATGCGTTGGCAAAGATGCGTCGATTGCATGGGTGATTACTTCGAATAACAGAAATAAAAAAGTTTGAAAAAATAAGTACTTTCACTTATTGCATGCAAAACGGCAATTTGTTTGCATATAATGTAGAATGTAACACCTTCAACTTTATATGTCAACTTTGTATGTCAGGAAAGCTGATTATATTTATATTTTTGATAAAGTTTAAAAAAAAAGAAAAATTCAAAAACCAAGAATTTTGACCTTAAACCTTGAATAGCTTTTTAACACACATGGGATCCATGGGGACTATTAGCACTTTATTTCTACTAGTGTACTAAAAGTCCTAGCAAAATTCAGCTCTATCGGAGTTTTTGTTATTTGATCACTATTACTAATATTCCTCCACTATTTTCCACTAAACCTCCTTTCTAAGGAGAGGCCTATATCCAGCATTGGACTATTAAAGGCTGTTGATGTGATGTGATTACTATTTTTATGTCTTATTTAACCGGGCTATATCTAATAATAGATAGAATAATAGAAAGAGTTGTCGTAAATTTTGAATCGGAACGCAAACCGGCTCATTGTCGGCACAAAACTTAACATGACTTTGAAAGGCATCCTTTATTATAGCTTTAAATCGTAAACGATCAAAAGTGCAGTTTTGTTGAAATCGTGTTATGCAATCACACTTATTGCTTAGTTTAGCAACAATACAGAAATGTTAGACGATATGGATCGCATTATTGCAACGGAACGTATTGCTTGTGCTTCAAAGCTGCTCATTGTTATTGTTAATCATCTCGACCTTATACTGGTGTAATAAAATTAGATGTATTAATTACATCATCGGCTTCAACACCACTATGCTAAATAAAACGAACATCGATCTAAACATAAGCGATAGATGCCGCCATCATCGGCATAGATGCGGCATCATCTAGAGTTATAAATATACGTAGCTATCGTTGAACGTTATTGGTAGAACATTTTAATAAATCTTAAAATTTTGTAAAGTTTCATACACCTAAATTGGCATCTAGTCTCACGCTTGATTTCTAAGACTTCACCTATTTTCTTACTTTTTCTTGATTACAGTTATATTTTGTGTCTACTAAATGTTATTAAATCTTAGAGCAAATTGCAAAAAATTAACCAGAATGATTAAGTCATTATCCATCTCAATTGCAAAGATCTAACCAGCTTAAGCAACAATGGTACCGGATCAAAGCAATATTTTTAAAACATTATTACCTTACTCTCGACCTGTCTTGTTATGTGTAGGTTGAGTATGACCAAGTGGTAACTTCCTTCATTACGTCATTTTTGTGAATCATGCAATTTGTTTCAAAGATTTAGACACTGCTTTGGATATAATGTTAAGCTACGACCTCGTATTTTCTGTACGCGGAGAAGTCATGTCGCACATTTTGCGCCTCTCGTCCTGCTCAATAAACATTTGATGGTAGGCAAACATGATATTATCTTTGCTTTTCTTTCTTCTTTTTAATGGTAAAAGATGAGTTCCTTAACTATTGTTCAAAGTTGATTGCAAAGAAACAGAAACAAATCCAACCTCGAAACAATATTCCGATTACGTCATTCATAAAGTAAGTGCAGTTATGTAGGGAGCGAGGGAGCCATCTTTATGCGACTCCGTTGCGGGCCGCTGCTTGTGATATGAAAAGCACTTTTCTGTAGAGTAAATAATAGAGCGACAGTGAGAAGGCCTCGTGCATTACGACTCAAATAACTTATGTGGTCTAGAACAGCGACATGTGCCATAACGTTACTCGTTTATTTATTTTCTGAATTAAAACTTATCAAAGGATGTGTTTAATAAGGATGGATGTGTTAGTCTGCTTTAACAGATACTTGATACACTATATATACAAGACACAATTCGTACAACACCATACCATAAGCATGTATTTTCAGAGGGCTAATGAAACTTTCAAAAGCCAACATGAGACCGCGCTTATTTAGAGACGACGATGTCGAGCAGATGACGCCAAAACAAATCTCAGTATCTGGCATATGGTATGAATATTTAGAGCAGGAGAACGCATCGAGAGTTTCTCTGCACGGCTATAAGACATCGAAAATAGATTGTGCGAACGGGGTTAGACGCACCTGTTATTTGGCTTTGGGCGGGCGCGGTGTCGGAGGCGCGGGGTGGCAGATTCATTAATAATGGGCCACAATGAGACGCCATTATTTACGAGTTGCGGTAGTCGAGTTGAACCGCATCGCACATAGCACTGTGCTTAAAGTGCTAATCCGGAAATAACGCTGTTCAAGCAGATTATTCGTAAAAAAAATTTTGACTAGAAAAACTAGCAAAAAGTTAACGGTCTTACGTACATAATCGCTTCGGTAGGCTCTCTTTTTTGTTGTGTGTGGCTTGATGGATGTTCAATGTACTTAATTTTTAACAATTGAAAACCTAATGGACTGGAGTCGTCTACATGTTACAAATAAGGCAAACCCACTACATTTTTGGGATGGCAAAGCCGCATTACAATTATTTGTTAGTGTCAAACTTTATCGGGTTCTCCTCAAAGTATTTGTAGTGCTCTATTTTGAATCAACTTAAAAGGTGGAATGCTTTGAATGTGTCAGTATATTTTTACCAATTTAAAAAAAAATCCGGACAAGTGCGAGTCGGACTCGCCCACCGAGGCTTCCGTACAAATTTGTAGGTACATATTATAAATAGTTAAGGAATCGACTCTTGCAGTTTTTTCTGAGCTTTGCCCGAAAGGCAGTTTCAAAAACCAATAATTACCTTTATTATTGTGTTTTATAAATGAAATTGCACCTCGATGATTGATTACGTACGTAACGTACGTTACGTACGATTAACTAAAGGTTATTTTTTTAATAATTTAATTACAAATGTATAGTTTGCAGATTTTTCCCTGTACTTGTAGTATGAGAAGATGTTACTTGAAAAATTTCATACTTCTAGGTGAACGGGAAGTATCCTATAAATTCTGATTCCCTTGGGAGTATCGAAATATCCTTTTTTTTTTGTGGCACAAACGGCCGTATCTTTTTATTTTAACTCAGTAGTTTGATTATTTTACAACCCTTGAAGCTATTATAATAAAAAAGAGACCGTAGATTGAGTAAATGGTTTTAGTTTAAACTCGATACGCATTCCCATTCATTATCACATATTCCCGTTAAATTAAGGTTGAAAGCTTGTTTAATCGTGTTCTTAGACTAAAACCTCAATTAGAATCAGAGAAAAAAATACGTAATTGATATGGAAAAAAAATATTACTCGTGACAGTTTCCAAATATTTGATTATTTATATTATTCGTCTCCATGTCGAATATAAATAAGAACAATAAAATATTAATAAGAAAGAGCCATCTCTAAGTTTATTTGAGTCTGCATCTATTTTATGATTCATATCTTATTTTTCTTACTTATGATACCTATGCGATAGGTTCTAAGAGACCCAATGATTGGCGTTTCTCAACACAAAGGATCTTTGGTTGGCTTATATATTTTTAATGTTATATGACTCAACACGGTTTCAACAAAACAGCATGAGCATAAAAATATCTACTGTGTATTTTGTTCTACAAAAGTTAAATTTAATAATATAAAAAAATGACACATTGCTTATTTATCGACGAATTGTTAGGCAGCCATTAGATACACCAGGGACTTCCTTTCTAGGGTATACCTGGTTCCCCGGCTATTAGTACACGAGACGGCGTGCGGTTTTAGTCGGTTCGAGTCCGACATGCCACCGATAGGTGGTATCCGAGGGGATTTCCGCATGGAAAAAAAAAGGCAGCCATTAGATAATCGTGTTTCTTAATTTAGACTTGGAGTTACCACAGTAATGGGTCAAATAAACAAAGAGGAATCGGACTAAATTCGTGCATGAACAGTCAGATGCGGTGAGATGAGGTAAGCGACCTTAAAAGCCACTTAGCACCGTGCGCTCTCCGCGCGCCGGCGCCTCTTGCTGCGTTTCTTATTACTTGGCGAATAATTCGGGTAATAACTAGATACTCTAAGACCTCTATTCTCAACTATTTTGCAGGTATTTTGCTTTTTAATTACCTCTAAATTTTACACAAATAGACTACACATTTCTTAAACTTTAGTCGTATAAGATTATTTAGTATGTTATGTAATGTAGAATATCCAATAGCTTCAGAATTTTTACTGCTACAGTTTTCTGGAACCTAATATCTCAGTCAATCCGTCTTCAGTAAAAAAGGAATGGGATTGATTCGTTATTTCTCACTTTGACTCCAGTGCCAATAAATTTTCCACATTAATTATTATTGAAGTGGCTCTGCTTTCATTATTCTATAAGTATATATGCGCTTCGGTGAATAAAACTAATTAGTTAACGCCGTATTCAAATAAAATAGGTGCATTAATAAATAAAAAATGTTATGAATAAATATTAAGCTACTTAAGAAACCACTACTCAAAAATAACGGATTCTTAATGCTCTTCTTTATTTTATGTATTTAATTTATGTTTAACTGTTTTAATAAAACAGGGCTTAACGAAAGTTATAAGCATAGATAGTAGGTAGGAACCTATTTTAGTACATATTTTAGTACAAGAAAAATGTAAAGATGCATAAACTGTACCTGTGAGAAAAACTAAAGCCATTAATAGTGCCAGTATTTTTTCGATGAATATCACACCCAACGGCATAGTGATAAAGCAATAGTAGGACATTTCTGCACTTCAATATTTGGTTACAGTTTGTATCCAATTGAATTTGGTGCGCAAATGACAGTCGGCAGAGAACATAGTACCGAATCGTACCAATGTTAAATCGGATGGAGCGAGTTAATTAACGTTTATGCGAAGTCATCAAACAGGCGTGAGCTTCGCCTTCGGGACTGGCCCAGGAGCGCGACTTCGCTTCGTCGCTTTTAATTAATGCTGGTATTGCCGCATGCCGTACCGTTAGAAGTCATCTACAAATCCACTTACCAGCACAACAACCCTTTTGTATTTACAAAATATATTGACAGACAATCGTAAGTAATATTGCAAAGTGTGATTGATTGTTTATTTATTTGTATGTAACATTTTCACGCCTTATTTACTCTACTGAGAAAAATGAAACTTTTATCTAAAAATGTGGTGTTTCTTTGGGATACCTGATTTGATTGGCAACATCTACATTCACAAAAGAAAAGTAACAGTAGTTTGCATTTAAATTCAATTACAAAAATGTAGTTTGTATTATTTCTATTCTTACTGTATTGATTGTTCAAAACCATGTAGAGCAGGAAAATACTGAAATACTATTATATACGTTCATAATATATTTCCTGATATATTGTTCGTTGTGTATCGTGAAATAATACACGTAAATTTTATTTATATGTATACTGATGTCATTCGTTTCCCAATTACCAAACTAGATAAATGCACTGTTTAAAAAAGCCGCTAGATAATAATCTCTATCGAAGTGCAATTGTTCACCAAGCAGCAAATATACGGAAAGAAAAAACAATCAATAAATAACAAGTAATGCTCCGTTCTCTTAGCGGGGGTTAGCCAATTACTACGTCGCGCTTCAAGGAAGCTAACCAGTTTCTAAATTCTTCGTATATTTAATTTAACTTAATTGGTGTGTGGATACACGGCGGCAGGCAGTCGACCGAGAATTGAAGCCTCTTTGTTAGCGAAATCGTATTTAAAACGGTACCCTCGCGAATTATACATTTCGCACCTCTTTTATCACTAGGTAGGTATTGTTCTGCTTGTATAGATATCCCTACATTTCTGTTTTTATTTTAAATATAATTTGAACGTCTTACTTACCTTTGGATGATTGCGAGACGTGTATCTTTTTACCTGACTATACTTATGTTTTCTTTGTTTTTCCTATTTAAAAATCGCACTAAGAACACATATGTCGCACCTTTATTCATAAACTGAATTAACTTAGAATTTCAATATTGCGGGAAATCGCATTTAAAGTTTGACATTAATGTACGTGCGAGTTCGTCAAAAAGAGAACGACGATCTCTTATCTCTGCCATTTTCATGGTATCGAGTCGGCTGTTGGATTGTTCGTGTTCTACTGATGAAGTTGATTTGGTATTTGTTGAAAACTCGAAAAACGTAAATTTTGAATTATTTCAGTTTATTATTAAAGGTGCGATGTAGTAGTAGTCTTGTTAAATTTAAAAAAAAAACTATTAATAAAAGTTACAGAAGAAACGAGAACCATGTTTGTCACCCACAAACACGGCTCTCGTTTCTTCTGTAACTTCGAATAGCAATGATCTAAATGGCACAGGAAACTCGGCCCGTGCCCGGTAAACTAATGTAGAGCTGAGCGACGTGGGTGCACCCCAACTTATTTGATACCGTTAAACAATTGGCTAGACATTTAAGCGATGTTTGACATATTTTAATAATAATCTACTTCTCTAGAAGTGAATAAGTGGACATTTCTTTTTTTCTCACATGTATCTTTGACTGGCTGCAAAGGCAGTAGCGAGATAAATTTACGTGTTCATGAATCTTCTGTCCATATGCAACCACGTACAAAGGGGGTATTCACCATTACTGCTAACATCATGCAAGCAATAAACATTGTTCTCGAAATGTTCTCCAGTGTCCGAACAAGGAGAGAGGTGCGGTGTACGATTATACTTACGTGCGGCGATTGGTAACAGTGTTGTTGGGTTGTGTTCTTGTACAATGTACGTACGTAGCTATATTTTTATATGTGTGAGAACTGCGTTCGGCGTGGGACGGGCAGTGCATTTTTTGCGAACGCCAGATGAACGGTAGGTCGTTCAACTCCGCCACTTGTCTCGGTACCAAATTTTACCACCGAAACGCATTTAGCCTTCTTATTTGGGTGCAGTTTTATGGAACTATATCTGTCAGTTTTGTTTGGTACGGTTTAAAAAAATGCTGTATAAAACCCATCAACGATCTTTCATCATCTTCGTCGTAATACAGATATTAGAAATGTAAGACAAAAAAAAATTGAACATGAAAAGTCTAATTTTTAATTTTTGGAAAAACTTTGTTAATAGTAAAGTTTCCTAGCAAAAATGACTCTTGCACTTTATTATATCATGCATGAAGTCGGATTTGACGACTTTATGAAATATTTGTATTGTATCAATATTTTAAGTAAGACCATAAATTATCACACTTTTTAAAATATTTCTTGAACAAAAAGAAACGCAAAAATACTTTAGGCTTCTAAATTGAATTTATAAAAATTAAAACATAAAGTCAGCTTAAACATAACGTACTCAGATTATTATAATAATCTGAGTACGTTATGTTTAATTACCTACAACTTGCGAAATATAAGGTCCGTACTTGTGCTCTTCATGTCCAAATAAAACGATATATTGTGTAGAATCCAAAGGAAAAATACCTCTCAACGATTAACAAAGTACTCGAAAAGTAATAATTTGAAGAAACATCTTTTGGCGAGTCGTGATAACAAGATATCTAAGACTGAGTATGCAGATGCGAAACAGGCAGTCGGTACAACAACATCGTCAGTATCATTGCTCACTCATTAGACGCTGAAAAACTATTTAAAACAACTAATTAGTACCGCTGCTGTCGTACTTTCTTCCCCGTTCGTCTGAGAAGAATGTATGACCGACGCGTGCTTTGTTACTTTATGAAGCGCAATAAGTTTAGTCGACTGACTCAAGTATGAAGAAACCCGCCGCCACTATCCAGCATAATGTGTAATAAAAATTCAGAACGGTCGCCGTCTACGAACGCGATATAGGCTAGCGATATAGTTTTAATGCTATTACTGCCGACTAATTACACGTTAAAATGAAACAGTATAATTTATTGCATACCTTGTGGGTTCTGCCAGCGACTTCCTTCATCAAAATGTTGCATAGATAGATCCAGTATGTACTATACATAATAAAATATCCAGATCAAAATCTTCGAACGTAACTATTAGGTTATATAATAGTTTCACCGCTCTCATTACTTTCACAAATATTATATTATTTAATATCAGTGGGTGACAATTAGTCAGTCATTCTGGAATAAAAATTTGAACCTAATAAAAACCACTGCTGTTTTAAATCTACTATACTTCTGTTTCAAATAATGAGAGGAAATATTATGTCACATTCCATATTGTGGCGGATTAAGAATATGGAGTGTCACCGTTTCACTATTCAACTCTAGGTGTCGTAAGAGCAGACTAAGGGAGCTACCAGGATAACAATGCTACAAAAAAAACAAGCCCTATACGAAAACGTATGGCCAGCGTGGTATAGTAGGCCAAAACCTCCTTTCTAAGGAGAGGCCTACGTCTAGCAGTAGACTGCTAAAGGCTGCTAAATGTTGTTGATGATTATATCTTCTGTAGAAATCTTGCCTTTTAAAATAATTTATCAGTGGTCGTTCCTTGTGACACTTATACTTGTCAAGCATTTCGTGGCAGCCGTGACTCCTTATTTATTACTCTACAAATTATGAGGTACAAGTATAAGATAATTTATTAGGAAAAATGTTTGTGTGTTCGTGTCTTGTGTTCTCTTTCACTATTTCAATATTTTGTTACGAAAGTTTTATGCACATGCATAAAAACTCACGTTCGCAATCTCGGATATAATTTATCACCAGAATTATTTTAAATTACTGGCGATATTGAACTCAAGATAGATGTAACAAATCTAATGGTGATAAGTCTATAGCCGATTGTTTAAGCTCATGGTGGCCTAAGGAAAAGAAGAAACAGAGTACAATCTCGGAATGCTTGTCCACCGTATTTTACGTTTTTCTTTGTTCTGTATTATATTTCCTCTATGTTTTAATTTTATATCTTCAATATAAAAATGTATAAGTACTTGTGGTTCGACATATTAAAAGTAACAAGATAAACACATTGGTTGGTTCCGACAGTCGAGCGTGCCGCTAAGTTCTACCAAACTTATGTCTCGCTGCTTTATTAAAAACTTCTTCTTATTATTTAAAATATGGAGAATTAGTTGAATTGAAGTTAGCAATAAAATGGCCTTGTCTAGAACGTTGACCACTATTTTACAACAAATGATTTGCAGCTCCGCATTATTATGATGATAGCCGGCTAAGCAAAAAATGGCTAGATATTTCGAGTCAAACGACTATAAGAAGCGTATAAACGAACTTTTAGACGTCACGCTTGGTGGGCGCAGTAAAAAGTAGCACACGTCGCATTCGTGACTGCCGGCCTGCTCCTGCGATTGCTTTATTGCACGCTCGTCTGCATTGGTTTATAGACGGAACAAAAATAAGAAGTTTTACACAACATAACTGCTGCAAGCTCATTGCCCCACAGTCCCATGAAGTGACACTCACTATCCTAAAGTAATTGGTATATCTACAGAAATGTCATAAATGAAATCATTGTTCATTACTTAAATCTCTCTATTAATGGCCACAAATAACACACATAGTGTAACGACACTGTTGTGTTTAATGAATAAATCATTTTTCTTTTTGATACGTAGACGATTTTCAAAATTTTAAAATGTATGCATTAATTGCCCATTTTACTTTGGCAAGCGGGGTACGGGTAGGGTAAGCGTGTCCTCCGACAGGTCACGCGCTCTACAAACTCGTTCTGCAGCGCACTTTCGCCACTCTGACTGCGCTGGACCAGCGTTTATGTTGCTTGCTCGCTTGTGCACGTCTCACCCTTTCCACTCACGTTTGCACCCGACTTTACCCGAACAGCAAATATGAGCAACTTACCGGACATGATGCAAACTTTATTTGACTCTGTAAGTTCTGCATTTGATGTTTGGCTGGTAAAAGTATTACAATTAAAAGTTTTTTCGGATCCTCCTCAATTCTGTCATTGCTAATATGATATTTATATTTAATACTATCAAGCATCTAACTACATGCCTAAAACACATTCCTGTTCTTGACATAAATACAAAAGCATTTAAATATGTTGCAAATATAGAAATATTATTTAATTTCACAATGCCTATACAATATCCAGAATAATTGACAAATCCTAGGTTATTTTCTACCGTTCGAATATCGGTAATCCAAATACCCTGTCTGTCTGGTCGCGTTAAATTCATATTGTCGGAAGACTATAATTTACTAAGAAGTGAAGTTATCAAATAATTCTACTTGCATTGTCTCCTGTTCAAGAAGTGGAAATAATCGGTGCAACACATTGACCGGTTAAAACTATACATTTTGCCGGGGCGGGCGGAAGTGTGGCAGTGGCGAAAAGCTCGCAACTGCATGAGGAGAAAGGAAGCGGCGCGACGTGCGGCGTGATAAGGCGGCCGGCTGGCGTCGGACGCGGGGTGAGGTAGAGCGCGGGGCCAACGCGGGCCGAGGGGTGCGCGCGCAGTGGCAGTCCCCGCGCCGCGCCACTTGCCTCCCGTCAGTCGCCCGCCGACTCCGCTTGTGCTTGTGTGACTCGCGCTGCTCTGTGCACCGCACTCGTGCTCCGATCACGACGCGTGCCGCCCCTCTGTGGCCGCGAACCGCGACCTCTACGCTACCGGCGAAACGTGTCTTCTAACTTACATGCAACTTGCTATTTTTTAACGTTAAACTACCTTTACCCGGCTTGTTCATGTAAGTGTTACGCTCATTTTATTAAAGGCGGCATGTTCTTGGTCGAAATTCGGAACTCGCGACAAAGTGAATTATACCGTGAAAGTTTGTGAATCGAAAAAGGCCAGTGAATTAATGGCAATCGTGTTATATAGCCACATATTTTGTTAGTGCTTCCTTTGTTTGTGGACGGAGTATACTCACCAACGATTTCCGAAATTCGACGGAAAAGTTTTCAACATTAGGAGCGAGCGGTATGTTTGTAGTGTCAGGCAAAGGTGGTTCGGCCCGCTCGCTCCGACTTGTATGTCGCTAGAGCGGCGCATGAGAGCTTTCGCCTTGGTTAAGCCTGCTAGGTGCAGAGCTGCCTATGCTACTGCTATAAAACTTAACTTGAGCTTTCATCCGTACAGACTATAATGTAAAAGTTACACTAACTCTAAGTTTTCTTAATCCCTTAAAAAACTTTTCAATTTCAAAGTGTCTGTTTTAGTAAGCTTGACTATTTCCATGCTTCAGGTAACTAGAAAAAATGTTGAAAACTATCTATCTAAAAGTGTAACTATAATTATTTCATAGAGGAATTTATAAAATAACTAACAATGAAATATCAGGGATGTTAAACTAGCAAGGTAAAACGCATGGTTTTTATAAATTGAAGCGTGTTATTACGGGTTTTACTAATGCAGATCATGAGAAAGCCCGATTGGTATGAGATTTTCTGCGATAAGCCAGAGTTACATACTTTGTCATATCTGTATAAAAGTTACGTACTTTTATCTTATCTCATAAACGATCCAAAACTCAGTGTTGATTTAGTTAAAAATAGTTCAACAGATTTTTTCCACTCAGATTGAAAAAATAATCTTAGAATGATAAGGCATTTGTATCTCCCCACATAAACATTATTTGAAAATGACATAACAAGTACCTACCTAAGCAGTCTGCATTTTTCTTTTTATGTTGTCATTTTGTGATACTGGTGATAACAATATTGAACGTGTTTGTCAAATGTGATTAACTGCTGATAGAAAACATATCACAAACTGATATACACGGTCTTAGGAGATATACTTAATATATAAATATATAATGGTTCCAATTCTCACAAAATTAAACTGTAGAACACTGAAGTGAAACGGTCTAAGCGTGTTAATTTTAAAAATGGCAGGGCTTAACGATTTAAATACAATGGTTTGTTTGTAGCGTTTCTACTACGAGGGTAACAGCTGCCCTGCTACCTGCTCGACAATAAAAACCTTTATCAATAGAGAGCCCATTCCGGTATTATTAATTATGTTATTAGTCAATAGCAATTTAAAGAATAATTTTAAACGTAACATTACTAAGTCAGAAATTAATAAAAATAACAGTAAACTACTACAGTTTATAACACACCTTCCTTAACACTAATAAAGTTTAAAGATACAATTTGTAATATGAATCTTTATTATTCATCAAATTTAACCCATCAACTTTGCGTCTGTGTGATTTTATAACTGTAAAGACGTGCATACGAACTTCATAGTAATTGCTTTTTTAAAGTAGGCAAAAAGGAAACTCAGCGACTAACAGAGTTCTGTTACCTACACCATTTGTAAGAAGGACAGAACGAAACCTACAGTGACCGCGATGTGCGTTGTCGCCTTTATCATCTTTGTAAAATAAAACAAGTCCAATTGTGACCAAAAGGTGGACTTTTAACCACAAATATTAGATGAATATTTTTGGTCAGTACTCAATGTAAGATGTCCAACCTATGGCATTACTATGTTCATGATAGTTATTCTTTACTACTTGATGTATTTTTTGCAGCGTAGAAGCCTATGTTTATGTTTCCCTTACTGTCGTATTAAAAGTTAATTGCAACCGTTAAGATATGAAAGATCACATGGTTAGTTGATTCTTTATTTGAGAAATTCTTTCGATTAAAAAAAGCAGAAAAAAATTCGAATTCCTTGAAATTTCTAAATCGTTAACCGTCGCCTCAGTTCTAATAACACTGGTGATGTCAAAATTTACTAAAAATTTTAGGACGCCAAAAAAACTGTTTTGTTTTCTATCGAATACCTTTAAGTTGGTTTACTCAATGTAAAAATTGAAACATAATCTTTCAGACGTTAAGTCTCATTTATCAAAATGTCAAAGTTTTTTGTTCGATTCTCGATAAATATTTTGCACAAAATTCGCTAAATGGAGAATACTAAGTCTTTAGTTTAGTGAGCTTCTTTTTGGTTCACAAAGATTTTTAGAGTTCTTATCTCATCTCTTACTAACATCTTTTGTCTTTACAAAACATTAGCTAATTTTCTGAGAGATTTATATATACCAAAAAGCGCACAATCATTGTTAAAATAATGGTTAAGTAACAGGATTAAATTAAGAAATAGCGATAAAACGCTTAACAGTTATATTTTAAAAAGCTGCTGTATCCAGTAAAAAAGAATTGAAAATGGATCATGGCGATCATGTATAGCACCACCATCATGATCTGTGTACAAAATTATCTTGCAAACTAATCAGTATAAAAGCCTTAAATATACTTACTATAAAACTACAAAACTATGACTAACTGAATTGAGACTGAGGCTCGAAGTATAAAAAATACATACCTAACAGTGTCTAACAAAGAAACTGTTTACTTACTGCAAATTGTAAAGATGCACTGAGGCTCGAGTGCTGGCGTTGTCAGTATTTCAAGTAAAAGTATGTCTTGTTCATTAAAATATTCTCTTAATAGTTTCACATCGTGAACTTTGTATTTTGTCATGTGTGTATTACGGTGTTAATATGATCATTTAATAATGAGAACGGCGACCAGTCCGCAGAACTCAATTACACATTTGATAAGGCGAGCACATTAACGGGCATGTTGCAGCGATAGCACCGGAATCGTGTAATTTTCGCCTCATAAATTTAAGCCGTCGCAAATTTTTCGCCTCTTTTGCTAATTACCATTCCGCCGACGTCCCCTGAGACTGCTAAATGTGCCTCGTGCACGTCCCGAATGCGAAAGTAGCACTAGTTGCGATCTGCTTTGCCTCGTACACGGTAAACAATGGCCTTTGTTTTGGCTACCATGGTTCAACTACGTGTTCAACGAACCATTAGTTACATCTATATAGAATTTGTATTAAACTTATGATGACCATCTCATTTGGCATGTAAATAAAATACACGTGTAACAGTTTTTCTGAATTATATGACCCAGAAACATGTTTGTCAGTTGCATTTAAAGATAAAAGAATAAATATTCCTATGCTAATGTTAACTTTTACATTCGAAGAAAACTAAAACCATAGACACGATACAATTTTACGCGCAATTTGATTAGATTTTCAATCAAATCGTCTCATGTGGGGTCAAATGGCCCAATTCAAGGCCATTGGGTAGCCGGGATCGCCTGATTTGATCACGTCAAATCAAAAACGTGCGTTTGGACGCTAATTGACCAATTTTGTCAGTTTAGTCTCCTTGTAAGCAACATACTTGCGAATGTGTTCAGAGGTTTTTGTAGACAGATGTGTGTCATTAACGTTTTACAATTTGATTTATAAACTTGGTCCATACAGGTAGCAATTCCACAAAATAAAAAAGTATTGAGTATAGAGAAACTTATCTTACAAACGTCCGCCTGGCACCGAAAATAAAATCAAATATAAATCGGCGCTATAGTTGAATACGTGTGGACACGAAATCTGATCATAAACCAAGTCCTACGCAAAACTGATCCGTAGGAAAAATTGAACCGAGTGGAAGACGTTTTATATTTTCAATATAAGCATATTAAAATGTTTTCAAATTATATGCTACCTAAAAGTGTCATAACGCTACAGTTTATATTTCAGTTATAAAATTAAATTCAGTAAACATCCTTATAAGTTCATAATTGTTAATACTTTTTCCTTAACGATGTGAGTCAACAAAACAAAGCGAACAATGACCAACGAATATGGAACCGTGCGAGGAATAATAAACGGTGACATCACTTCGACGCAGATGAACGTCATGCTAAACAAAGTCAAAGGTTCCATTTTCGACCATCATTCTAAGATTTATGACTTAAATTACAATACTGGCGACTCAAAACTGACGACCTTGAACGTTATTACAAATCACAACACTAGATTGATGAAAATATCGCATGTGACTTTTATAAACTTGGCAGAAATAATAATTATGAACTTTTAGTCTGACATGAGTAATAATAATATTTAAGATGGAATTCTCTAATTGATAAAAGATTAGTAATACAAGATACGATATTAAAATTTACAAAATAAAATTATATGCAACAAACCGTTTCGTAGACGTAACCACTTGAAAATCCTGTTTTTTATTCGTTAAATAAACCTGTTTTATTCATGAATTATATTTAACATTAAATATCATGTTGACAACTGGAATATTTCATGTACCTAACTCTAGATGCTAGACTCGGAGATTGAAACGACACATGAAACGCGCCGTCGCTTTAATCATGCGTGTCGAAGGTGAACGCAGTGGCAGTTTTTGCAACACCGTCTGCGGCGAACCGCGACACCACCATCCAAGGCCACAAGCATACCTGCCCTGTTTTCCGCCTGTCTTACTATTGTCCGACGTCCTTGTTGTCTGAACAACTTTTTTACTGACCGGGTATACGCTCTTTTAAATTACTGCCATCTCTGGCAACGATAACACTAGATAATAAGGGAAGAGGACACCAACATGGCATTCCTGGTAGGGGTTTAATAAAAACTCCAAAAAACTAATATTAAAGAATTTGTAAAGCTCGCTTATCCCATGCTCGTTAAATCTTAGTAGACGATGTGTGTTATCCTGATTCAAAGCACTTGGAATCAACGGTGCACAGTCGTAGTTATATAAAATGCTGAAATTCCAGCAAACAAAATTACTCTTAGCATATAATACAAAGACATTGACAAAAAAGAAAGGAACTAAATTACAATTTAGTAGAGAACACGGTAGTATGCGGCAATTATGTGACCAAATAAAACCAATGTTACGAAATCCATCGTGGCACGTATTGCAACAAAAAGTAAACAATATAACGTTGCAGTAATTTACTGGTGAAGGTAACGAGTCAGGCGGCACCTTTCAAACGGCTGCACCACAAGTACAAGTATGCACGACCTTACCCCAATTTCTGGCGAACCTATTTCAATCACCAATTATGATTATAAACCTTCGAGAAATAAGATTTTGAGCGTTCACTTTGCCTCTTACGTAATTATAGCATTTTATGTTTTATACAATGATTTAGTACAAAAAAGTGCGGTCGAGTAATACCTAAGTATATTAATTTTTGTACTAACGTAAATAAAAAAATTGATATGTTAAGTTTTTATGTTTGGTAAAATATTTTTTTCATATTTTATCAATATTATGCTTTTCAGTATCAATATCAAATATTTTTATCTAAACTCAAGACTGGGGTTTCCAGGCGAGCTATTCGCATTCTGATTGTCTTGATAGCTTAGTGGTAAGAGCGCCCCCCTGGCGGTGGGAGACCCAGGTTCGAGTCCCGGTCAAGACCGTGGATGTGGGCAGACAGTCTGGTTGCCCTTAAAATAAGGTTTAATATAAACACTCCACCGCGCTTGTCAGCTAACTATTAAATCTTTTTTTACTAAGTACAAAAGACTAACTATTAAATCTACATGATATTGTCGATGGTAACCTGATCGAATCGACGATCTTACAAAGACCCGCGCCCGACCGTTATTCCCCCTCCTGCGCCCACCCTATCCCCGACCGCTCTCATGAGATTCTTATTTAGATTCGCTTCCGTCTGATTGCTCTTGGTAATCTTTTCACTGGGTTATTGAATGTCTTCCCAGTGCGTGTCGAGTACTGAAGGAATTTCCTAGCTAACGGTGTCGACGTGAAAGAAATGGGCCGCCGATATCCTTTGAAAGTACCATACTTCATTTCTGGTTTAATGTAGAAAAGAAAATGATGTGCATTTGCTTTGTGTTCGTGTTCAAGGATTTTGCACTCGTGATGGCAAAAAAGCTTAATCTTCATTAAACGTTTTGTATTTGGGTTGTAGATGGTTACTTTTCACATATTCATTCATTCATGAAATGTAATTTTTTTTAAATCTTTTTAACCATGACAGTGCTAGTGGTCATTATTAACCCCCAGCTACAACGTAACTAGATTTGGTCAACCAAAATACTTCATAGTCATTGTTACCAGTTTCCTTGTACATGGTACAATGTTATTTCATATTGGCTAATTCAAAGAGTAAATGGTTCTATTTCGATACTTAGATAATTTGTTTGGAATTTAATCATACCATATTTTTGCTTTGAGTGAGAGGTGCTAGTTACTAAATTACTCTGAGTCAATGCACAAAAAGACCAATGTATACTGTGCATGAGTCAACTTTCTAATTTTTGTCTTAAAGATTTAAAATACATGTTAACTGATTGTTCTGACATCTTCCCATACAAGATAATCCAAATGGAGAACAGTTAAACTTGTCGTTGAAAATATAGCACAGCAGAAAATACAGCAGTTACATCTTTATCATTATGATGATAATTAACGATTTGTCTCTTTAAATCACAGCGGTCTATTATATCAATCACTAGGCGAGATTAAAATAAGATTTTCGGCTATCTTTACTTATCTTTATAAACACTAGTGGATAAGAAATAAGAGTAGGTATAAGACGTATGAACAGATTCGAAATTTCTGATCGACCGGAGTGCATACACTGCTTGAAAAATTTCTAGAAACACAATTGCATCTCCGTTGAAAATAAAATTTAAGATTTATGCATGGTAAAGAGCGCGACGTTGCGTTGCGGCACATTGAGCTATTTTCAACCAGGTTATGCTTTAAATAGCGCATTACGATAGGATTTGGTTTCACGAGTTTTTCCCTGTTCGCGTCTCAGACCGTTACGTTTCTAGTGGCATCGCCCACACAAAGAATTTTTCTGTGCGATGACTCCTCGGACACTTATTGACGTTGACGCCATGTGTTCACCTCAACATTAATATAGACCCGGTCTGATGAATTGTCTTGAATAGTTGTTTTGTGGCCGATCAGTAATCCCAATAAGTATCACAATTAATGTTGTTACGGATACAGATGTTTTAAAATCCGCTAAATTACAAACTTCGAGAAACTAATATAATTGTCATTGCGGTAAACAATCACTTTGATTTTGTTTCTTAATATTGATTAATATTTCATAGTCAATGGTCATATGCATGCAAATTATATTTATACAGTTTGCATGACTTTTGATAAATGTGGGTATACATTTACAGAAATTTACAAATACACCTAGAGCAAAAATAAGGCAATAGTCATACGGGAGGACGTTTTTCAATGAGATAGTACGTTTCAACCCACTTAGCCGAGCTGAAATAAAAACTTACACCTACAAATCCTTTTGCGCCTTTTAGATCACATTGCATTTTTTCGCTGGCCAATAAATAACATATTGACAGAACGAGACCTGACAATAATATATGCCTAAAATCTGTTGCCAGTGACGGCAACGCTCTGCGCTAAACTAGCCAGCTCGTGGTCGTCACTAGGCGCGGGCCTGAGAGCGGCCACCGCGCGTGCTTGCTAACCCGGTAGCCGCTTATGCTTGGCTCCGGGGCGTAAAGCCCGGAGAGTAACCAGTGTGTTTTGTTGTTCGCAGAGTTGAGCCCCGCACCGCACCGGCTTGCTCGCTGACCGCCGAGCCGCTAATCTAGCTTTTTACGCGCCCACCGTCGCTCGCCCAGACCCGCACCGGCCGCCGCCATGCTCGCGCACCAAGCACCGCTCGCCCTCTATTAAACTCAAACATCAACATCGATAAGAACGCGTGTGATAATAATAATTTAATACTCGCCTAAATAAGCTTGCAACGTCGGTGTTTTTAATTATAACTAAATTTTTAATATTAATCAAAAGTAAGTAGGATCTAGCGTCAAATTCGCTTATCCATTGCCGCGAGACCGCGTTACGTTGGCGTGTGTAGTAGTGCAGTGACGGGTGCGCGAACGTCAATAGTGGCAAAAGCTCCAGCAGCAGCACTCTCCTCGCCAGTGTAAAAGTGCACGCTGAGAGCGCGCGGGCGCGCTCGCCCCCCGCGGCCTATGCACCGCACTCGCTCTGCGTAATTGCGCGCGACTCTACCGCCCCTCATTTGATGGCAGCAATGGCCACCATGGTGAATATGAATAACCTCTTAAATGGCAAGGACTCACGTTGGCTGCAACTCGAAGTGTGCCGCGAATTCCAACGGAACAAGTGCTCGCGGCCTGACACCGAATGCAAGTTTGCGCATCCTCCGGCTACTGTGGAAGTCCAGAATGGAAGAGTAACCGCCTGCTACGACAGTATTAAGGTGAGTGTTGCAATATCCATTTCTTCAGTAACTATGTACTGCTATATGTATAGTTTTGGCAAGATATACTTTCAAAACCTTATGCAGCTGCAATTTTCCGGCTGAACAAGAAACTACCCCTCAAGGCGACATTTCGCCGCCGTTATTCCGCTAGCCGACCTCAATCCCAAGGCTAGCTTGAAATGACGTCATCCCGCCACAGTCGTCGCCGTTTGTTTGCTATTGTATGGGAATTGGCATAGCACTAACAAAATAAGCAGGACTATGACGTATCAACATGCTCTTGCTACAAATCTATATTATATACATAGATGTGTGAGATATATGTTCTTAGTTGCTATGATTGTACACTTTTAAGACTTGTATTTCATAACACCATCGTAGGCCAATATTATGAATAAACTTCCAGTTACGAGGGCTGCTATTTATGTATCTGGAATAACAAATTGAAACAAACATATAGCATTTATTATAGTTTTATTGCTTTTTAAAATATTCAACGTGATGATCGATGCAATTTTGCATACGTTATAACCAATTTTCGTAGCACTTTTTCCATTCTGATTCTCTATGGTATCTTCAAAATGACAATTTTGAACGCATCAACAGCCTCTTCACGGCTCGAAAAACATTGACCACGTAATTTATTCTTCACGGTTGGGAATAAATAGAAGTCGTTGGGGGCCAAGTGAAGGCTGTACGGCGGATGACCTGTTAATTCGATCTTTTGATCTTCCAAATACTAAGTTGTTGTAAGTCGACGTGTGGCAGCTAGCATTGTCATGATGAAGAAGGATTCTGCGTTGTCGGTTATTCTATATTTCTTCAAAGACCTCTGGCAAACGTTGTGTGTAGTGTGGCACTAAAAAAAAAAACCGACCAAAAAAACTGCCCCATTTTCAGACAGTGCTTTTTGAACGAATGACTTTTGTTGCGTTTGGCTCATCTTGGAACACCCAAACCGTTGATTGTTGTTTAGTTTCAAGATCATACGCATATATCCAGAATTCATTACCTGTGTAGATTGCCACGCACCCTGATTGTACTTTTGCAACATTTTTTGGTCAATTCTCAAGTTGTGTGGAATCCAACGTGAACAAATTTTTTTACACCTAAATTTTCGTGTAATATTCTCGTCATACTTATTGCCAGAGACGCCTTTATCTCGCGATATGTAACATGACGATCTTGCATTATTAGTTCCCGCACAGCATCAATATTTTGAGGTACAACCGATTTAGGGCGACCTTTAAATTCGTCCGTGAGCACAGACCGCTCTCGATTAAACTCACTAAACCAGTGATACACAGTTGTTTTTGATGGTGCTTCGTCTCCAAAAGTCGAAGTGAGTTGATCGATGTACTATTTTTGAGTTAGCCCTCGCCGAAAATTTTCACGAGTTAAATTCATAGTGATAAAGACACGCAATTTTCAAAATGACGTAACAAAGGATAAACAAATGACAGCTACATGAAACGAATTGTATTCTTCAGCCAAAGAGTTCCATTTTTAAATGTTATAATTACTTTTTAATATTGTTCTGTAACTGTGTACAGTTCTGGATACATAAATACAATTAGAAGCCTGATGTAGCAACATTTTAATGTCAAAGGGAATAATTTTTACATCGATTTGCACGAATAACACGGTTTATCGGCAAGTCTCGGCTATTATGTGCTATAGTGTTATCAACACGGTAGTATGACGTGATAACGTGTAGGTATTTCGGGCGAATGGAGGGCGATAAAAATTAAAACTGACATGTAAACACGCACCTCCGACGCTGCACCGCCTCGGGCCGACGGCCTTATCGCGATTATAGCCCACTCGTTCGACTTTCCAAATAAATAACAGTGATTTTAGTAACTATAAATTTGTTACAACACTTGGTATTATTTTCATTCTTTTCTATCTATAATTCCTATCATCTTTAAAACCTCCTATTAGTTTTTGTATTATTATTACATTTATTTATTTTTAACCATTTTTATTATTATCGCAAATTATGTTGAACCTGAATCTTGCCAAACTGAATTTGAATCTGTTCGCTCAGACCAGCAAAGTTAATAATTTTGCTAGTAAATCACCAAGTTGATTTGTAAACAAAAGGATTATAAATAGAAAGCACTTTCTTGTTTCTTAATCCTCGTTTCCATCGTATTTTTCTTTGATGCTTCGTTGAATAACGCGATCAAGAGATAAAACACATTAGGATCGTGAAGAAACAAGTACGATTTCCACGTTTACCACTGCGCTCTACTCAATATGCCGATGTTGCTAACGTTACGGCAAAGCTCGACGACAGTGACGAGTTACCAAGCGCCATCTTGAAATGTCTGCTCCTTATAAATCTATTCAATTTTTATTGTGTTTCAGAAAACCAAAAAAAACAAATGGGATCTAAAACTGTGATCCAATGAAAATAAATCTTTATTATTATTCTCTACCGAATACAACATTTTTGTTCCGTTTTCGTAGTTATCTCTTTATGATAAAAAGAAATACACAATCTAATCTGTAGGCGAAATATATCAAATTATTAGGTACGTCATGTGTAATGTAATGTTAATCCGTGGTGAATGTTTGAGAGATTTTTTATTACTTGTTTATTATTGATATAACATTGATATAAAATTGTCTGTTTCCTATATGTATTGTTGCGCTTTATAATAACCAAGCCATATCTGTCTAATAAACACAACTTTATAAATAATTTCATGTTCATAATGTAGATAATCGGTTTTTCGGTTCGGTCGGTTATAACTTGCCTAGACCAGCTAACAGCCCCGACTACCGCCTTCCGACCAGAGACGAAAGGTCCTCCATGAGTTAGTAGAAACGACAATTAGCAATTATCAATAAATTAGCAATTATCGATAAAAAGCTATCCATTTCTTTCCAATATAATAAGGATAAAAAGTAGTAAAATAATAAAATACAGTACAATACAAAAAAAAAATATCGTATTGTTAAAACTCTAAGCTCTAATCTCATAGCTAAAATTAAACAAAAAACTGTTCAGCTTTATAAAATTAATATCACATCACATTAACAGCCTTTAATAGCATACTCCTGGACATAGACCTCTCCTTAGAAAGGAAGGTTTGGCCCACTATACTACGCACGCCAGACGGGTTGATGTAAGGTTTGTGTCGAGTTTTCTTCTGTTTAGTGCTTTTGTCCTGCGTAGTTTGCTGTTTGTTAAAAAAAATCAAGCTACAAAAACACGCATCAAATCATGCTGTTGTTGTAAAGTAGTAGTGATTACGTATGTGTGAAACTATAATAGGCAACTTATTTAAAACCGGGCATCGCCTTTAGTCCCAGACTCTTAAACAATAAACGGCCATGCATTGTGTGTGCTTTGTGCATCGTGGAGCCACAGCACCATCATGTCGGCATATCTTGTGTCACGATACTGTCACTGCGATGCGACCATACACAAGTCACTGCGGACACTGCATATCTCTTGTTTTCTTTGTACTCTAACAGTTTTAGTTCTTTTTATCTGGATAGGAACGAACCGATTTCAATACGTAGCTGTTCCATGAAAACATGACTCGCGCAGTGTTGTAGAGTACAGTTCGCGATGTAACCACCAAAGACGTTGCGTTAACATTTTCAGATACTACTGAAATAAAATTAATTCATAGATCATATTGAAAATATTATACTTTTTCACAAAAGCGACCCAAGTGGGATAGGACAGAACGGGCCGATAAATACTAAATATACGAAGCATCGCGGCAATATTTGCTGTAGAATACACTTTAAAAATATGTTACATTATCTAGCTCTTTAACCAAGAAAACAAAAAGTAAATAATAACGTATTACGATAAGAGTGCTGGTTCTCTAAGATTCTTTTGGAAACCGATGCCCTTTTTTTTGAGAAAGATCTTCTTTTTTAACAATAAAAGCTTAAGCTATATGTGTAATTCTACTAAATGTGAGAATTAGTATACTTTAGTATACTTTGTGTAAACTGTTCTATTTGTAACCCTCATTAGAAATCAATTATTTTACATCAAATAAACAACTGAACAAAGGAGTAACTGCCTAAAGAAATACATTTAAGACTAGACTCACGAAATGATAACAACATACAAGAAAAATTATTTTACATAGTGAAAGAAACAAATAATTAAATGATCCAGAAAGTGAGTAGATTGCTTTTTTTAAGATTAACGTTTTTGAACTACATTGAGCTTGAAAAAAATCTTTTTTTAAGAACGTGAATTTGAACCTACTAATGAAATCCTACAAAAGTTGTCACAGCACAAATGAATTGGAGGTAAGTAGTCGCGGGCTGATCAAACAAACCGCGTCTCATCCTTCCCTCCGCGCCCCTGTGCGTGTCGCGAAACGTCTACCGTGATTAAGCCTTCAATTACGCGATATGACGAGGGGGTCATATTTGATTAGGCTACGTGTTGTGTTGATTAAACCGAGCTTATTGCCTTATTCACTTAACCTCACCCACACGGCTGAGAGCTACCTGCAAACGATGCGTTGTATTGTCAAACTGGATTTGCAAAATTTCTGATCGTGTCGTCGTCGAGGCGCTAATTTGCTGATATTAAAACGACCATGGAATATAACGAAGCGTGAGCCTTAGAAAAAACTAAAATTATCACTTCATATTCTACAATAACTTCATCATGGTCAACATTATTATTATTGAAAGACCTGAGGTTTTATGTCAATCGTTATTCTCTTTATCATTATGGAGATTTAACGCCAAATTCTCAAATCATACAGTCTAATAAAATTTGTTGTGTACTATAAATAAGATTGAGCGGCTCCAAAACTTTTGCATAAGGTTCATCTTTGGATTGCGCAAATTTGACCATATTTCTGAATTTCGGAATAAGCTTAACTGGTTACCCATTCGTCTTCGCCGGAATATTCATATCCTTTCACTATTATACAATATTCTCTTTAATCCCAACACTCACCTTTATTTAAAGGAACGCTTCAGATTCCTACGTGATACGCATT